TGTCTGACGGAAGGTCTGTTGGTACCAGAGACGTGGCACATGCAGCAAAGGGGTGACCATGACACTCAGAGGCTTGTGCTTTGAATTAGTGAAACAGGTGAACGAGCGAGAGAGCAGACGGATTTTACGGAGCAAGAGAGAGACTGGGAGAAGACTAGGAAAGAGGACTGAATAATCATAAAGCAGACTCTGATCCACATTCCCTGCACAAGGATGAAGGGGGGGTGGTTAGAATGACAGTTGGAGTGTGAAGGTGTCATGTAGCTCAAAGGAACACGCAACACACCATCTAAATAAACACGGTAACAATTGTAATAATGAAGGTATGAAAAGTTGATACAGCAAAAGTGAATAACTCAGGGCAGAAAGGGAGATACCACAATTGTATAGCACAAGTTTGGTCAAAGGATCGGCTTCACTTGTCACTTTGACGAGTTGTTGTGTGGTGCTAAAAATGGCGAGACTCACTGACGATGCCGACGAAACGTTTAGGAATGTACCACGTCCACGGTTCGAATTTGGAAATGATGATGCATACAATAGACTAAGGACAATGTGCGTTCCTCTAAGTCTTCCTACCAAAATGACCATGTTGCGGAAACAAGATCAAACACATTCTATACAACGAAAGGAGACTGCGACCACACAAAAGGCCACACCATCTTGGTCTTCATATCTTCACATGTCAGTTCAACTAATCTTTCCTCAAATAATATAGTCTCACCTCATATCGTTTTAAATAATTAAAAGTCGTAAATTTCAATCAAATTTCCTCTCCTATGAAAATTCTCATATAATTTAAGCTCAACAACTATCAATTCAACTTATAATCCTCTCATGTCATATTAATTCATTTGTTCCCAAAGAAGTTCGAATAATCGCATATAATATAAAATAACTCATCTAATTTCATCAAATGAAAAGTCACCTCATATAATCCTACTTCATTATATCTAATCTCAACTCATCTAAACCAAAACTGGGTTGTGAAAATGGAGTCAACTTACTTATTCCCAAAATTGAGCTTAGCTACTTGAGGTGACTGTGCCCACTCAACCTCAGGACCAACAGACTTCTGTTTCTCTCTTTCGTGTCCTTTACTTGTTGATTGTTTGGTCCGTTCAGGTCTTTAACCCCTTACATCATTGAAGGTGGTTTTGTGCTAAGATGGATATGGATGTACTACAGGAATACAAAATATAGTATATTGTTGATGTAGAAATGGGTTCCAAGAGTGCTCGCAATCAAAGCGAAGTTGACAACAAGGTTAATCTCTTTTGATACATTATTGTGACATTTAACCTTTTTCGAAATGTGTCAGGACGGCAACACCGTTAACCAAGTATAACGATCTATCTATCTATCTGTTTCGTTCCAATATTTATTAGCATTGTCTATCAATCCTAATGGGTAGTTGCTTTGGGCTGAAATTTTTCTCAACCGTTTGTGGGCTTCCTAACCGCATCTCTGCCACACTTAATTCCACTTTCACTTACTGTGGCACCCAAAAATGGTAAATTAACCTCATTTTCTTACGTCATAGTAACTGTAGTAATCCCAACTAAGCTATTTATTAGCACTGAATACTTTTCTAATCTTTATTTGACCTATTACTTAATCGTAAATTGGTCATCCATATGCCTAGGAAACAACCTTGTAACTAAGTCTTCCTTGTGGTTTTTAGCTTAAATCGGCGCTAACTACGATCCCACATCTAAGCCTCGTATTTAACAAAACAACTTATCGTGGAGGTAAAATATTCATATTGTTCGTTACTAAATTAGTCTATTTAATGATTGAATCTTCGCTCAACTCTTCCTTCGTTCACCTGATTTAACGTTGATCTTAACGTTTATATCATACCTACTACACCGAAATTTTCAATCAGATCACCACTTTCAGTTATTCATCCACCAATTCAACATTAATACGCATTTTTTTATTGAAACACCTCATCCAACATTCTCCCTGCAAGCCAATTCTACTTCGGCTTCTGGTAAGACCAATTCACAAATAACTTGTAACCAACTTTTCCTTGTAAATGAACAGAATGATTAAGAGTTTCTTGGAAAAGCACTAACATCTCTTCATATAAACCCTTTATCGAGAACAGCCTCTTCAGCTTCGTCAGCATTAACGTAATCAACATTAGCAGTGTCGACATTATCTACATCGTCAACATCGTCGTCATTGGAATCCTTGCTAGTGGCTCCAGCCCTCTTAATATTCTAATAATTTTTATTATTATCAAAATCGTCATGCTCAACATCATCAACATACTCAGCGCCAAGGTCTCGCCAGCATCCGGAGCTTCAGCAACTTCAGCATCGTTACGACCTTTTTCATCATCATCACTATCCTCATTAACATCATCATCATTAGAATTGCTAGTAATACTGGCCTAGTTCGCATCTTCATCAGCTTCAGTATCTTTGGAATTTTTATCTTCATCACTAGTATCCTATTCTTTAGCATGATCACCGTCTTTATCATCCCATGCATTATCATCTGCGCCATCATCAGCATTAGCTTCATTATCACCAATACTTCTATCATTGCCACTATTTTAACCGGTGCCACAACGTACTAACTTACTATTAATTGTAGCAAAAATCACCATCATCGCCATCTTCAGCAGCTTCAGTAACAGCAGAATGATCATTCTCATCGTCGTCATCTTACTAATTTTCCACATCGTAATCGTATTTTTCATCTTTATCATCATTCGCATCATAGTCCTCATTACATCGTCATCTTGATCCGCATAGTCACCATCGTCATCCTCGTCATCTCCTTCATCTTCATGCTCATCTTCTGCATCAGCTTCATCATTATACTCATCCTTTTTTCCGGCATTGTCACTTTCTTTATCATCCCCATCATCTTTACTTCT